GTATTTGGTCACCTACAAACAAGCAAGATTTCTGGCTCTCACAGACCTGTACCTTCTTCTTTAAGAGGCTCCTCTGCCCTGCACTCATTACCTGTATCAATGGCACCTGTTTGAACTTGTTATCAGTATAAAAGACACCTGTCCACAACCTCAAACAGTCACACTCCAAACTCCACTATGGTGAAGACCAAAGAGCTGTCGAAGGACACCAGAAACAAAATTGTAGCCCTGCGCCAGGCTGGGTAGACTGAATCTGCAATATGCAAGCAGCTTGGTGTGAACAAATCAACTGTGGGAGCAATAATTAGAAAATGGAAGACATACAAGACCACCGATAATCTCCCTCAATTTGGGGCTCCACGCAAGATCTCACCCCATGGGGTCAAAAGGACCACACGGGGGGACCTAGTGAATGACCTGAAGAGAGCTTTGACCAACGTAACAAAGTAACACACTACGCCGCCAGGGACTCAGATCCTGCAGTGCCAGACGTGTCCCCCTGCTTAAGCCAGTACATGTCCGGGCCCATCTGAAGTTTGCTAGAGAGCATTTGCATGATCCAGAAGAGGATTGGGAGAATGTCATATGGTCTGATGAAACCAAAAGAGAACTGTTTGGTAGAAACACAACTCGTCGTGTTTGGAGGAGAGAGAATGCTGAGTTGCATCCAAAGAACACCATACCTACTGTGAAGCATGGGGGTGGCAACATCATGCTTTGGGGCTGTTTCTCCACAAAGGGACCAGGACGACTGATCCAAGTACAGGAAGGAATGAATGGGGCCATGTATCGTGAGATTTTGAGTGCAAACCTCCTTCCATCAGCAAGGGTATTGAAGATGAAACATGGCTAGGTCTTCCAACATGACAATGATCCCAGACATACCACCCGGGCAACGAAGGAGTGGATTCGTAAGAAGCATTTCAAGGTCCTGGAGTGGCCTAGCCAGTCTCCAGATCTCAACCCCATAGAAAACCTTTGGAGGGAGTTGAAAGTCCAGCGACAGCCCCAAAACATCATTGCTCTAGAGGAGATCTGCATGGAGGAATGGGCCAACATACCAGCAACAGTGTGTGCCAACCTTGTGAAGACTTACAGGAAACGTTTGACCTCTGTCATTGCCAACAAAGGATATATAACAAAGTATTGAGATGAACTTTTGATATTGACCAAATACTTATTTTCCACCATAATTTGCAAATAAATTCTTTCCAAATCAGCCAATGTGATTGTCTGGATTTTTTTCTCATTTTGTCTCTCATAGTTGAGGTCTACCTATGATGCCAATTACAGGCCTCTCTAATCTTTTTAAGTGAGAGAACTTGCACAATTGGTGGCTGACTAAATACTTTTTTGCCCCACTGTATATACAGTGAGGAACAGAAGTATTTGAACACCCTGCAATTTTGCACGTTCTCCCACTTAGAAATCATGGAGGGGTATGAAATTCACATTGTAGGTGCATTCCCACTCTGAGAGACAGAATTAAAAAAAAAATTCAGGAAATCACATTGTATGATTTTTAAAGAATTTGTCTTGTACTGCTGAACATAAGTATTTGAACACCTGAGGAAATCAGTGTTAATATATGGTACAGAAGCCTTTGTTTGCAATTACAGAGGTCAAACACTTCCTGTAGTTCTTGACCAGGTTTGCACACACTGCAACAGGGATTTTGGCCCACTCCTCCACACAGATCTCCTCTAGATCTATCAGGTTTCGAGGCTGTCGCTGAGCAACACGGAGTTTCAGGTCCCTCCAAAGATGTTCTATTGGATTTAGGTCTGGAGACTGGCTAGGCCACTCCAGAACCTTGATATGCTTCTTACGGAGCCACTCCCTGGTTATCCTGGCTGTGTGCTTCGGGTCGTTCTCATGTTGGAAAACCCAGCCACGACCCATCTTCAATGTTCTGACTGAGGGAAGAAGGTTGTTGCTCAAAATCTCACAATAAATGGCCCCTTCATACTCTCCTTAATACAGTGCAGTCGTCCTGTCCCCTCACAGAAAAGCACCCCCAAAGCATGATGTTACCACACCCCCCATGCTTCACAGTAGGGATGGTGTTCTTGGGATGCAACTCATCCTTTTTCCTCTAAACACGAGTGAAGTTTAGACCAAAAAGTTCTACTTTGGTCTCATCTGACCACATGACTTTCTCCCATGCCTCCTCTGGATCATCCAGATGGTCATTGGCAATCTTCAAACGGGCCTGGACATGTGATGACTTAAGCAGGGGAACTTTCCCCGCGCAATGCATGATTTCAAACCATAACGGCGTAGTGTTCTACCGACAGTGACCTTTGCAACTGTGGTCCCAGCTCTCTTCATGTCATTGACCAGCTCCTTCCTTGTAGTTCTGGGTTGATTCCTCACCTTTCTTATCAGTGATACCCCACGAGGCGAGATCTTGCACGGAGCCCCAGTCCGAGGGAGATTGACAGTTGTCTTTAGCTTCTTCCATTTTCTAACAATTGCTCCAACAGTTGATCTATTTTCACCAAGCTGCTTGGCAATTGCCCCATAGCCCTTTCCAGCCTTGTGGAGGTCCACAATTTTGTCTCTGGTGTCTTGTGACAGCTCTTTAGTCTTGCCCATGGTAGAAGTTGGCGACTGACTGTGGGGTGGACAGGTGTCTTTAAAGAGCTCAGACAGGTGCTACTAAGTTAGATTAATGAGTGGAGTAGAGGTGGACTTTTTAAAGGCACAGTAACTGGTCTTTGAGAGCCAGAATTCTTGCGGTTTCTTTAGGTGTTCAAATACTTATGTTCAGCAGTGCAAGACAAATTCTTTAAAAATCATACAATGTGATTTCCTGAATTTTTTTTTTTTAATTCTGCCTCTCAGAGTGGGAATGTACCTACAATGTGAATTTCAGACCCCTCCATGATTTCTAAGTACGAGAACATGAAAAATCGCAGGGTGTTAAAATACTTCTGTAACTCACTGTGTATATATATATATATATATATATATATATATATATATATATATATATATATATATATATATATATATACAGTCAGGTCCACAAATATTGGGACATCAACACAATTCTAACATTTGTGGCTCTATACAGCACCACAATGGATTTGAAATGAAACGAACAAGATGTGCTTTAACTTCAGACTGTCAGCTGTAATTAGAGGGTATTTACATCCAAATCAGGTGAACAGTGTAGGAATTACAACAGTTTGCATATGTGCCTCCCACTTGTTAAGGGACCAAAAGTAATGGGACAGAATAATAATCATAAATCAAACTTTCACTTTTTAATACTTGGTTGCAAATCCTTTGCAGTCAATTACAGCCTGAAGTCTGGAACGCATAGACATCACCAGACGCTGGGTTTCATTCCTGGTGATGCTCTGCCAGGCCTCTACTGTAACTGTCTTCAGTTCCTGCTTGTTCTTGGGGCATTTTCCCTTCAGTTTTGTCTTCAGCAAATGAAATGCATGCTCAATCGGATTCAGGTCAGGTGATTGACTTGGCCATTGCATAACATTCCACTTCTTTCCCTTAAAAAACTCTTTGGTTGCTTTTGCAGTATGCTTTGGGTCATTGTCCATCTGCACTGTGAAGCGGCGTCCAATGAGTTCTGAAGCATTTGGCTGAATATGAGCAGATAATATTGTCCGAAACACTTCAGAATTCATCCTGCTGCTTTTGTCAGCAGTCACATCATCAATAAATACAAGAGAACCAGTTCCATTGGCAGCCATACATGCCCATGCCATGACACTACCACCACCATGCTTCACTGATGAGGTGGTATGCTTAGGATCATGAGCAGTTCCTTTCCTTCTCCATACTCTTCTCTTCCCATCACTTTGGTACAAGTTGATCTCGGTCTCATCTGTCCATAGGATGTTGTTCCAGAACTGTGAAGGCTTTTTTAGATGTCGTTTGGCAAAACTCTAATCTGGCCTTCCTGTTTTTGAAGCTCACCAATGGTTTACATCTTGTGGTGAACCCTCTGTATTCACTCTGGTGAAGTCTTCTCTTGATTGTTGACTTTGACACACATACACCTACCTCCTGGAGAGTGTTCTTGATCTGGCCAACTGTTGTGTAGGGTGTTTTCTTCACCAGGGAAAGAATTCTTCGGTCATCCACCACAGTTGTTTTCCGTGGTCTTCCGGGTCTTTTGGTGTTGCTGAGCTCACCGGTGCGTTCCTTCTTTTTAAGAATGTTTCAAACAGTTGTTTTGGACACGCCTAATGTTTTTGCCATCTCTCTGATGGGTTTGTTTTGTTTTTTTTCAGCCTAATGATGGCTTGCTTCACTGATAGTGACAGCTCTTTGGATCTCATCTTGAGAGTTGACAGCAACAGATTCCAAATGCAAATAGCACACTTGAAATGAACTCTGGACCTGTTATCTGTTCATTGTAATTGGGAAAATGAGGGAATGACACACACCTGGCCATGGAACAGCTGAGAAGCCAATTGTCCCATTACTTTTGGTTCCTTAACAAGTGGGAGACACATATGCAAACTGTTGTAATTCCTACACCGTTCACCTGATTTGGATGTAAATACCCCCAAATTAAAGCTGACAGTCTGCAGTTAAAGCACATCTTATTTGTTTCATTTCAAATCCATTGTGGTGGTGTATAGAGCCAAAAATGTTAGAATTGTGTTGATGTCCCAATATTTATGGACCTGACTGTATATATAAATATACACACACACACACACACACACACACACACACACACACACACACACATCTTACAGAAGTGAGTACAACCCTCACATTTTTGTAAATATTTTATTATATCTTTTCATGTGACAGCACTGAAGAAATTACACTTTGCTACAATGTAAAGTAGTGAGTGTACAGCTTGTATAACAGTGTAAATTTGCTGTCCGCTCAAAATAACTCAACAAAGTCATTAATGTCTAAACCACTGGCAACAAATGTGAGTACACCCCTAAGTGAAAATGTCCAAATTGGGCCCAATTAGCCGTGTTCCCTCCCCCGTGTCATGTGACTCGTTAGTGTTACAAGGTCTCAATTGTGAATGGGGAGCAGGTGTGTTAAATTTGGGGTTATTACTCTCACTCTCTCATACTGGTCACTGGAAGTTCAACATGGCACCTCATGGCAAAGAGCTCTCTGAGCATCTGAAAAAAAGAATTGTTGCGCTACATAAAGATGGCCTGGGATATAAGAAGATTGCCAAGACCCTGAAACTGAGCTGCAGCACGGTGGCCAAGACCATACAGCGGTTTAACAGGACAGGTTCCACTCAGAATAGGCCTCGCCATGGTCGACCAAAGAAGTTAGGTGCATGTGTTCAGCGTCATATCCAGAGGTTGTCTTTGGAAAATAGACGTATGAATGCTGCAAGCATTGCTGCAGAGGTTGAAGGGGTTTGAAGGGGTCAGCCTATCAGTGCTCAGACCATACGCTGTACACTGCACCAAATTGGTCTGCATGGCTGTTGTCCCAGAAGGAAGCCTCTTCGAAAGATGGATGCACAAGAAAGCCTGCAAACAGTTTGCTGAATACAAGCAGAATAAGGACATGCATTACTGGAACCATGTCCTGTGGTCTGATGAGATTAAGATAAACTTATTTGGTTCAGATGGTGTTAAGCGTATGTGGCAGCAACCAGGTGAGGAGTACAAAGACATGTGTGCCTTGCCTACAGTCAAGCATGGTGGTGGGAGAGTCATGGTCTGGGGCTGCATGAGTGCTGCTGGCACAGGGGAGCTACAATTCATTGAGGGAACCATGAATGTCAACATGTACTGTGATATACTGAAGCGGAGCATGATCCCCTCCCTTCGGAGACTAGGCCGCAGAGCAGTATTCCAACATAACACCAAACACACCTCCAAGACGACCACTGCCTTGCTAAAGAAGCTGAGGATAAAGGTGATGGACTGGCCAAGCATGTCTCCAGACCTAAACCCTCTTGAGCATCTGTGGGGCATCCTCAAACGGAAGGTGGAGGAGTGCAAGGTCTTTAACATCCACCAGCTCTGTGATGTCGTCATGGAAGAGTGGAAGGGGACTCCAGTGGCAACCTGTGAAGCTCTGGTGAACTCCATGCCCAAGAGAGTTAAGGCAGTGCTGGAAAATAATGGTGGCCACAGAAAATATTAACAATTTGGGCCCAATTTGGACAATTTCACTTTGGGGTGTACTCACTTTTTTTGCCAGCAGTTTAGACATTAATGGCTGTGTGTTGAGTTATTTTGAGGAGACAGCAAATTTACACTGTTATACAAGCTGTACATTCACTACTTTACATTGTAACAAAGGGTCATTTCTTCAGTGTTGCCACATGAAAAGATATAATAAAATATTTACAAAAAACATGAGGGGTGTACTCACTTCTGTGAGACACTGTATAGAGATAGAGATCTATCTATTTAATCTATCTATAACTTATACACACACCAGCATTACCAATGCCATCTGGCCATCTGTCCAAACTGAGCATTAAAAGGTAAAGTTAAAAAAAATGAAAAATTAAAAAGATAGTGATGGTTACATGTTCCTCCTCATGCCTCCTTAATGCAGAGAACGCATTAAAAACCAAAGCTAAAAATGTTTACCTTAATGCACTCCTTGCATTAAAAGGTAAAAAAAAATGTTTTCTTTTTCTCTGCCCCCCCGTGTGAAGTGGAAGAGGGGAGAATAGATCCAGCACTCTACGTGCTTACTTGCTATAGGGACACATGAAGAAGAAGAAGAGGAGCAAAGATCGCCGGTGGGGGACCCAAGAGGAGAAGGATTGGGGCTGCTCTGTGAAATACCACTGTACAAAGCATGAGCGTTTAACATGTTTGTTATTAATTGCTTTTTATTTCCTGTAGCAACACTAAGATAAATAAAATGTTTAGAGTTTAGTATTACTTTAAAGTGGTGGAAGAGGGAGCACTTTCAACAAGTGAAAGTTGAATGGTCATAATACCCTAAGGTTGATGGAAACCTAATGAGGCAAATTCAACTAATGCATGCTAAATGTTCAATGACCCAAAATTATGGTTTCAGGCACATTCCATTTTGTATGAATCACACACAGTTTCTCAAAGATCCTCTGTAGTCAAAACTTAAAAAAAAAAAAAATGAAATATGCTGTTGTAAAAGCTCCATGGAATCTTCTCGACTTATATTTTTATCCTTGCTTCTTCACGGAGAGATCAGGTTCATTGATTGGAGAAAGGAGACAGTATGAATGTGGTGCCGTTGATACTAGTCCTTATTTAAAGGGCACGTTATTTTGCTACCTTCACATGGTTAAGGTACCGCGGTCGTTAAACTTTGTCACCGGGCAGACTGGACCTCTTATGTTTAACCATTTGCCCTACAGAGGATTTACCCCCCTTAATGACCAGTTCTCTTTTTGCTACTCGGCGCTGCATTAATTCAACTGATAATTGGATGCTCATGCAATGCTGTACCCAAAACAAAATTTACGTCCTTTTTTCCACACAAATAGAGCTTTCTTTCTGTGGTAATTGATCACCTGTGCGCTTTTTATTTATCGCGCTATAAACAAAAAAAGACTGGAAATTTTGAAGAAAAAACACTTTATTTTTTACTTTCGGCTATAAAAAATATATAGCAAATTCAGTTATAAATTTAGGCCAAAATGTATTCTGCTACATGTTTTGGTAAAAAAAATCCAAATAAGTGTATATTAATTGCTTTGTGTGAAAGTTATAGAATCTACAAACTATGGTGTAGATACTGCAATTTACGCCACTTTTTTGCTATACAGCGCTGCACTAGTTTAACTGACAATTGCGCGGTCATGCAATACGGTACATAAATGAAATTGATGGGGTTTTATCACACAAATAGAGCTTTATTTTGGTGGTATTTGATCACCTGTGTGCTTTTTATTTTTGGCACTATAAACAAAAAAAGTTAAAAAAAAAAAAAAAAGTTAAAAAAAAAAAAAAAAAGTTAAAAAAAAAAAAAAAAGTTAAAAAAAAAAAAACGATATATTCTCATTTCTGTCATAAAAAATATCCAAAAAAACTAAAATTTCATCACAAATTCAGGCCAAAATGTATTCTGCTACAGGTTTTTGGTTAAAAAATCCCAATAAGTGTATACTGATCGCTTTGTGTGAAAGTTATAGCATCTACAAACTATGGAATAGATAATAGAATTTACACAGCTTTTACTTTCTGACTGGCCATCACATTTCTTGAGGTGTTAAAATACCAGGATAGTACAAACACCCCCAAATGACCCCTTTTCGGAAAGTAGACACCCTAAGCAATCTGCTGAGAGGCATATTGAGTCCATGAAAGATTTTTTTTTTCTTCCACAAGTTTCTGGAAAATGACAAAAACATTTTTTTTTTACACAAAGTTGTCATTTAAATTATATATTTCTTGCACAAGACATGGGTATATGTGAAACTACTCCCCAAAATACATTCTGCTACTTCTATTGAGTATGGGGATACCACGTGAGACTTTTTGGGAGCCTAGCCACATACAGGAGCCTGAAATCCAATGACCATTTTGAAAGCCTGAAGGTGCGTAACTTCCTCATTTCACTTCCTCACTACCTATCACAGTTTTGAAGGCCCTGAAATGCCAGGATAGCACCAAACCCCCCCAAATGACCTCTTTTTGGAAAGTAGACACCCCAAGGAATTAAAAAAAAGGCATGGTGAGTATTTAGCAGATCTAATTTTTCTCAGAAGGTTTTGAAACATAAAAAAGAAAAGATAAAATATATTTTTTTTTCTTCATTTTCCAAAAACTTGTGGCAACAAACGAGATCTGTAAAATACTCACCATGCTTATCAAATTCCTTGGGGTGTCTACTTTCCAAAAAGGGGTAATTTGGGGGGGTTTGGTGCTATCCTGGCATTTCAAAGCCTCCGAAACTGTGAACATGTTTTTCACTATGTTTTTTTTTATGCAGCCTGTGGGCTGAATAAAAAAAAAAAGAGAAGAAATCTCTGCCAGAAAAAGTGTGTGGTATTCTCACCATTAGAATATACCGCCCTGCATCCACCCACTTCTAATGATGGGCACACATTAGCTCGCACAGTGCCATATGCACCAGTTTCAAGATTTTACAAATATAAGTATACAATACAGTAAATCCTCCAAACCACCCAATAAACTACTTGATTCCGAATGGAAAATAAATTTCCGCCATAGAAAGTTACAAACCTCACACTATGATCTACAAGAACCATCCAAAAATCCCTCTTCCAAAATATCAATAAGTGCTCTACAAATGATAAATGTCCAAGCACATAAATTCACACAAAGTATTGAGTAAGTGTCCAGTGTCTTATAGTCCAAAAAATTATTTTAATACGTCCCACTTGAAATCACTTCTTTATAGTGTTGTCCTCAGAGCAGCTTCCACGGAAACCCTCAAAAAAAAAAAGAAGTGTATCACTTCTAGTACTCATAGCATATATACCCATACCCTAATAAAATGAAAAAAACGCTGTAAGATATCTAGCAAAGGATTCTGTCAAAACCACTCAGTCTCCTTGCCTCCACTCCTGACGTTATGATTAGAATGTCATCCCCTCATGGTACCGTAAGCCAGTTCCCCGGTCTCCCGGTTCCACGGAGGATGTATATGAAAAGAATATAGTGTAATTCCGTTTCATACCATAAAATAAACTTTAATGTATCTGCTTACATGTATAGATAATAATCAGCACTTTAAAAGAAACCCCACACAGCTGGGAATTACCAGGCAGCTTCCAGATGGATAACAGTGCGGCTCCACACTCCAAAATGGCCACCGCATCACTTCCGGTTTCTGCTCTGTGCGTCCAACGGCACTTCCCCGACACGTTTCGTCACATCCAGGACTTAATCTTAAGGGATGAACACGTCGGACCTCTATCCGCAATATAACAGGCTCCTCAGTCAATTAGCAAAGTTCCGGCCGCCATCTTAACTATGGGAAAGTAGCCCATACCTTTCTAAGCAGTGCCACACTACTTAGGTAAATGTCTTAGATATCAATTAGACTCATTGGTATATATCAGATCCTAAGTTATATCACCATCTTATTACTCACTACCAATACATAAAGTTAACAAATACGTTCATCAAAAAAACTTCATAAAACCAAACAGTAAATACTACACCACATCTATACCCCCATCTAGTGGAGCAATTAGTGATACCCAGATAGAACATTTAGGAAAAGATATAAGTAAATAAATAAAAAAAATTAAAAAATATAATTAAAATTAAAAATAAATAAAATAAAACATAAAAATCAAATGAAAATAAAATATAAAAAAATAAAAATGTAAATAAAATAAAAATTAAATTAAATTAAAAATAAACAAAAATAGAAATAAAATAAATAGAAATAGAACCTAAATAAATAATAAAATGACCCTAACGAATATTTACTCAAAAATGACCAATAGTATATATATATATATATATATATATATATATACACACACACA